AGGGCAACGGTGCCCCAGAGAGAGAAAACAAATGAGTTGAGCCCTGGGATGGCCGAAGCTTATTTCTTGATAGAGTTCCCAGCTGCAGTAAAGGGAAGAGAAGTCCAGGCAGAGCCCCCATGAGTCGAGAGAGATCTAAATACCCACAGAGGCTGAGTCAGCTGGAGTTCACAGGACAGTCTTGAGGAAGTGAGAGCTACACACAGAGAGAACTCTGGAGAGCTGCAGAGGGTTTCTTCATTCCTCTCGCATGTCTTTGGCTAAATACTGATTAGGGTGTGCATTTAAGGAAACTCTCAAGAAGCTGGGGGAAGATCCATCCAAAAGGAATAGAGGGACCAATACCAGGAACTCACACAAGGACAGAAATTGTTCCTGTTTCCAACACTGAGGAAAACCTAAGAATTTACAAGGCATTGAGTACTCAGAAGGATTGGGCCCTAGTAGTGGGGAAAAATTAGCCCTAGACTAAATGTTATTGTGATTTCATTACATAGAGCTTGGTTGAAGAAATAGGATGTGCTTCATTTCTCAATCTAGCAGGGATTGTCTTGAGTTGGAAGACACTATAAGTAAGTTGTAGTATTAATCAGTCAAATCCTTGTGTCTCTCCAGGGGACTTTGTGGTAGGAATTATTACCCATGTGGGTCACTGAGTGGTGCCTTCTAATGCAAGCTTCCCTTTGTGGCCTCTTGTCTCCTTTGGTGAAGACAAGACATGAATGGCACCACTGAAGGCTCCATGGGTACTTTCTATATTTCCCACTAAGCCTATCCCTCCCTGCCCTTCTTTTTTCTACTTAAATTGAAAAAAAATTCTTTTTAAATTTTTTTTTGACCTTTTTATTTTTAGCATATAAAACTGTAAACTTGCCTTTATCAAACTGCTTAGCTGCATTCCACATTCCACAAGTTTTGATATGGCAGTGTTTGTGTGTTTTATTATTCAGTTATAAATGATTCAATTTCAGTTATGATTCCTTTAGTGTTTTATGGGTTAGCCATTTATTAATTCCATTAAGTCATTTCTTATTTCCCAAACTTCAGGGGTTTTTTGTTTGTTTGTTTGTATTTTTGGTGATACTAGGGATTGAACGTGGGGCCCTGTGCTTGCTAAGCAAGAGTTCTACCACTTAATCCATACCTCGTCCTTTTACTTTCATTTTTAAAATAGGATCTATGCTTTTGCCCTGGCCAGCCTCAGAACACACTGGTTTTATTTAGTTAATTAATTAATTTTTATAGCACTGTGGATTGAACTCAGGGTCTCCTGGCTTGTTTTTGTGAGAGTGTCTCAGTAACTTTTGCCCTGCTTGCCTCAAATTGCAACCTTCCTATGTTCACCCCCACTAAGTAGCTGAGATTACTGGCAGGCTGCCACCACGACCAGCAAGAGACTTTTTTTTTCAGTTGATGAGTAGCAGTACAGCCACTGAATAAGATACCAAATTTGTTAAACCTTTATTCTCATTCTATTTGTTGGTGGTATGGTTTTGTTATTACACACTCTACCTCTATTTTTTATGTTAACCTTAGAAAATTTAACATTTGTATTTAACTTAGTAGAGCCTAAAGTTAAACAATGTCTTTATTGTCTTCTAGGGTGATACAAGGACCTTATAACACCAATCCCAGTAACTCCCCTTCTTATTCATATGCTATTCTAATGTCTTATTTCCACCTTGCTCTCTTTTCAAAAACCACGTTATAATCATTGTTTTATTTAGTTTATACTTGTTGAAAATGATTACCATGTTTTTTGCTGTTAATTTCTAGCAAAGAGGCAGGTTGAGATGGTCAATTAGGGCAATAAGCCACACTGAAAGCAACAATTATGCCTTAATCACTCATTGGAATAAGACAGCACTACCTAATGTTCCTTTCTCCTTAGACAATGTCACCAGGAAAGGGCCAGGTGATGCAGCTTAGATGGGGGAGTCATCCCACTGGTGAAGAACCCTCAACTAAAGATTCCTGACATTTTTTGAATAGGGGACTGAGGGGCTGGAAGTGGAAAAGTACTAAGTCAGAGAGGACAAGTCTTACCCATAAGTGGGCTCATGGATAGTCTGGGCTAAGAAAAACAGATATGCAAATGAGTATGGCTACCCAGGAGGCCTTTTACCTTGACAGCAATTCTCTCTAGGAAACCACAATGCATGTCCTGTACTGTCCAGGGTGGGGAAGGTGCCTTCTCCCCAAAGGCCTGCCCCACAAAGCCTTGTAATTGCTCATAAGCTTGAAAGATCACACAGAGATATTGGCCTGGAGCCCTTTTCTTCAACTCTTGGATACTGTAATAGAGTTTACTCTAGGATCATTTAATTTTACTGCAAGTACACTTTTTCAAATATCCTTTAGTGAAGGTCTGATGGTGGTAAACTCTCTCAGTTCTTACTCTGAAATTAGCCTTATTTTGTCTTTGTTTTTGAAAAAAGTTTTTTCAGCAAGCACAGAATTTTTAGTAGTAGCTAATTGTCTCTTGGTGCAGTAAGGATGTTATTCCATTGTCTTCCGACTTGCATTGTTACAATTAAAAAGTTAGCTGTAAGTCTAATTGCTGTTCCTTTTCTATTGGATGATCCATTTCTATTGTCTTACTTCAATGACCTCATTGTCTTTTGTGGCTTATAATTTCTCTCTTGTATTATGTCTGGGACTCATTGATTTCTTGATTCTTTGCATTTTCCCTATTTCTTGAAATTTTTCATTTATTATTTCATCAAGTAAGTCTTTATCCAATTTTCTTTTTGGGAACACGGATCAAATAAATGTTAGCTAACATAACTCTCTTCACATTTTTTGTTGTGTTTTTGGAAGCACTGAGGGACTCATGTTTGCTAAGCAGGTGTACTACCTCTTGAGCCACTCTGCCAGCCCTTTTTGTGTTGATTATTTTTGAGATAAGGTCTCCATGGCTGGGAAAGCTTGGACTGCAATTCTCCTATTTGTGTTTCCCCATGTAGCTAGGATGACAGGTATGTGCCATAGTGTCCAGCTGTTGGTTGAGATGGGAATCTCATGAACTTTTTGCCCACATTGGCCTTGAATCATGATCTTCATCTCCACAGTGGCTAAGATTACAGACTTGAGCCTGGACTGACTGTCTTCTTCACATTTTTTAACTTCTCATTCATATTTTCCAAGTCTTTTGTATTTCTTTGATAAATTCTTATTAACACACTCACTATTATCTTCCAGTTCCTGAATTCTCTTATTAAATTGGACCCTTAATTTAAAAGTTTCATCTATTAGAGATTATATTTCTAGGAGTTCTCTTTGGTCCTTTTTACAATATGCTTGGTCTTTTTTATTTATAATCCTCTGCTCTTTATTTTTAGTCCCTTCTTTTACTTTCTTAAACATAATGGACATAGTTGTAAAAATACTCAACCCCTACACACAGTGATCAGAGGTTAATTCTGTTGCTGTCTCTTTGGCTTGCTCTCACTCAGAATGCTGTGGTCCTACTTTGTGCTTTTCTTTTGGCTGTGTGTTCATATTTTTGTGACTTGATCTGTGGGAATTCCTTTGGCCCCTCTGTTCAGCACTTGTACAATCATGGTCAATCTCCTTTCAGTCCTCAGAGTTTTTTAGTTCACCATTGTATCAAGGTATAATCTTTTGGGGTCTTGTTTCTTATGGGGTTCTCTAATATTCCTAATGTGGCAGAATCTGGAATTTGTTTACAGTCCCCTGTGCCCTGAAAGTCTGCAAAAATGGAATTTAAGTTTTTTGTATTTTAATTTTCTCAAAGCAATCTTTGTTTAAGTTTCTCTATATTTCTCTTAGTCTGTTTCTTAACTTTATCTCTAGTCTAATATCCTTTTTAACCAGTTCATTCATATATTTAGAAAATGTTTCTCAAATGTTATTCATCTTTTTTGGTTTTCAGTATAAAGTTCAGAGTCTAGTCTTCTACCTTACCAGAAATGAAAGAACCCACTCTGTTCTTCAATCCTTTCAATTATTACCACTGATAATTAATTATTAGTTAAAACTGATAGTTTGTCTTGTCCTCCTGCCAATGAAAGCATATTACATGTATTTAGACATTTTGAAATTGTCTCACAGTTCTTGGAATAATTCATTCTGGGATTTTTTTCACCCTCTACTCTTCTTAGTGTTTCAGTTTGGATAATTTTTGTTGACCTATGTTCAAGTTCACTGATTCTTTCCTCAGTCTTGTTCAATCTGCTTATGAGTCCAACAAAGAAATTTTATATTATCTGACTTTTTTTAATTTCAGCATTTTATTTTGACTGTTTTATAGTTTCCATTTCTCTGCTGAAATTCTCCTTTGTCACTGTGTGTATTCTGTTTCTTCCCTAGATCCTTAACATATAAATCACAGTCAAGTTAAACCCCCTCTGATGGTGCCAACTTCCGGGTTGTCTTTTAGTCTGGTTCTCTTGTTTTATCTCATGTTAATTAGTTTGTTTTTTCTTGCTTTTTTTTTTTTTTGGTGTATCTTGTAATTCTTTACTGAGCACCAGACATTGTGTAAGGAGGAACAGGAGTGACTGCACAGTGGATGAGGACAAATGTTTTTGTTCTGCAGGACCCTGAGAATATTATTTGTCTTCTCTGAGCTTCAGCCTCAGCAACATTATGGAAATGTGTGAAATAGATAAGATGTAAGCATCAAATGACATTTTTATTTATCTAGTGCTAAATATTAGAACTCATCTTTAATAAGGCAATTTGATTATTCATTCTTAATTTTCCCAAATGGGAATATCTTTCTTTCCTGCTAATTAAATCTTCCATAGCTCACTTGAAAAATTCATGTAATATAAAAATATACAAAATAAAAAGCCAAATGCCTCCAAACCTTCAATTAAGATATTACTACAATTGTGAATTTCCTCTGTTTCTTCAATAATACAAACTATAAAATTGATCTCATTATATTTAATATTCATAAATGGACACATAAAAATCCAAAAGTTCAATGTTTATTTTCAGAGTAAATACAATATTTTTAAAAGATGGTTTAAAGAAATGCCCTCACAAATATCCCTTTCAAATGTGGATTCTGTGGGTAGCAGGAGTCATTCCTTACTCTAGAAACAATAACTTGGAAAATATGAAGAAAGAGGATAACAGAAAGTACAAAAAAAGATGTGCTTTGAAGATCAATGATATTTAGCTTTTATGTGAAGAGCAGTTTCTTGAAGTTGCAGACCCAGGATTCCTGGCTGGCAAGGGTGAAAGTGCCTCCTTTCTTGCTCTCATTAGGACCTGGGCAGCATTTCCTCCATGTCTGCAACGACATATGAGACAACAGCCCAAATGGCAGAAACGATATTCATCTGCTTTGGATCCATGACAGTCACGGTGTCTCCATGGGTGTGATGGAAGGAGAAATACTTTTGTAAGTCTTCACGTAGACTGGCACCTGGAGAGAAAAGAGAAAGAATTCTGAGTGGGCTATTTTGACAAACACTGCTGACAGCAGCTCAGAAGCTACTGCTACCCTCATCCCTTCCCTTTGTCTGCTCCTATTACTGGCTGCAATGGCAAAATAATTACTTTCCCAGGCTCTCCTGCAGCAAGAAATGGCTTTCTGACCAGTAGGATAGAAGTGGCAGACTGTGGTAAGTTCTAGGAAAGTCTTTACTTTACTGACAAAAGAGTTGGGAAAATATCCCTAAAACTGTGTTAAAGGTAGATGGAAGTTAGGAGCTGTTAAGGGGCAAAAAATGGCAGAGAGGAAGACAGAGGAGCCTCGATTTAGAAACTCTTGCTGACCACTGAGCAAACTCAGCACTGCCCACTGCTGGACTTCCTGCTAAGTGAGGGAAAATAGACGTTTATTTCTAGAAGTAACTAGCACAAGAGTTCTCATATTTTAAAAAGATAGCATCTTTTTTTGTATCTGCAAGAGTTCAAGAGATGCACCTTCCTGGATACAAAAAAGGTCAATATTCCTTTGCTCAGTTTCCTTCTCAAATGGTTCATTTATTTCCCGCTGTCATGAAATTCCCAGCCACCTCCAAGGGCACCAGCAGGGGCCTCTGCTCCATTTTAAAGATTTCTTCTCACTTCGCTCTCGTTTCAGCCTTGAATCAGAGCCTCAGGTAAACTTTCTGTCTAATTCATGCTTGAAAACTGACGTGGCCCTTCTTGTGGATTCTAGCAGCCTGATCATTTGTTTTGTGTGACATGCACCATATCCACAGAAGACAGGAGAGAACATAACTATATATTACTCAGAGGGGTGACAGCTTGTCATGCATGGCTGTAAAGTTTTCTTTCTTTTTTGTTGTACATTATCTGATTGTATTTATTTATCCATTTTCCTGACAATGGGAATTTAGGTTTTTCCAGTTTTCTGTTAGTATATGCTATTATTAACATTCACTAGAGTCAAAATATGGAAGTGGAATTGCTGAGTTACAGAGTATGTGTGTGTTTAAGTTTTATCATGCAATTCCAAAATGTTTCCCTTTTCAATTTATACTTTCAGTTTCAGTGTAAGAGTCTTTTGTGTCACATCTGCTCCAGTACTTGGCATTGCCAAAGCAATGTTTTTTTTTAGATGGGCCTGGAAGTTGAACTCAGGGCTTCATGCTTGCAAAATAGAAGCTCTACCACTTGAGTCACACTCCAGCCCTTTTTTTTTGTTCTGGTCATTTTAGATATGGGATCTCACAAACTATTTGTGCTAAACTCAATCTGTGATAATCCCATCTCAGCCTCACAGAAAGCTAGGATTACAGGCATGAGCCACTGTGCCTGGTTCGAGTTCTTGATATATTTTTATAGTAATCTTTGGTTGGTATTAAGTTTTCATGTATCATTTTCCAGCTTCTGATTCATATATTTTCACTGTTTAGTGTGTGTATATGTTTGAATATGTGGTTGAATTCTGAAATGTTTCCTTTATAATTCATACTGGGCATGCCTTATTTAAGAAGTACTTCCCTACATTAATATCATAAAGATATTCTCAGTATTTAAAGTTATGATTTTCTTGTTGAAATTGTTCTAAGAAAGGGGTAAGGAGCATGAGGGAGAATGATGGAAAGGGTGAATCTAATTGAGAAATATTGTAAGCATATTTGAAAACAGCACAATGTATCCCCCCGTACAACTATTATATGCTAATAAAAATGGAAAAATACAGTCATGACTTTTGCTTTTAAAGTCTGACTCCATCTAGAGTTAGAATTCTTGTGTAGAATGCAAGGTAGGCTTCTATTTCTCTTTTTCAGTAGTCCAGACATACTTATCAGCTAGTGCACCCTCTTCCCCGCTGACCTGCAGAATCACTCTTGCCCTGTGTTAGGGCTCTGCAGTCGGGGCATTTGGGGGTCCCCTGCCTCTGGTCGTTGGTGGGAAGTACTAGCATATGCCATCTCAACTGCCTGTTGCTTTCTGATTCTTGACATCTGGCAGGCACGTCCTCTTACCTTCCCTTCGTTCTTCCTCAGGAGCACTTTGACTATTCTCAACCAGTTGCTCTTCTTGATAAACTTCAGAATCATTTTATAATTCCACAAAAAATACTTTTGGATTTTGACTGGAATTATATTAACCTTCATATCAATTTGGAGAAGATCTTACATCTATTTATTAGGACATTGTGCTCTTGTTGCTATGTGTTTCTATTTACTTAAGTCTTATGTAACATCTTTAAAATTTCATAATACAGTCTTGCCTATATTTTAGTAGTTATTTTCCTTGATGAGTTATAACTTCCGGTGCTATTCAAAGTGAAACATTTAAAAAAATTCGCCTTATTTGTGGCTACCCAGTTTTAGTAGCAAGGATACAGCCATTGATAAAATGGAGTTCCTTCTTTGTCTACATTCTGGAATAGCATATGTAAGATTAGAAGTATTTATTTCTGGGTTATTTTGAGGAACTTTTTTTAAAAAACAAAACCACATTAAGTCTGATCCTTTATGGTAATAACTTTAACTAATGATTCAATTTCTTTTACAGTTATTGGGCTATTTAGGTTTTCTGTTTCCTCTTGAGTTACTCAGGGGAATTACATTCTGCTGGGAATTTGTGAGTTTTATCTAAATATTCAAAATAGTCATTAAAAGTTGTCAATAAAACTCAGCTTTTATTTTTGAAAATGTCTTCCACATCTATAGCAATGTCCTTATTTTTATTTCTGTTGTGTCTTATCAGTGTCTTTTCTCTTTTTGGTTATCAACCTTACCAGCAATTTGTCATTTTTGTTGGTCTTTTGAAGAAAACAAAAAACAGCAGCTTGGGACTTTTTGGATACTTTCTACTATGCAGTAGTTTTTCTTTCATTGATTTCTGCTCCTAGATTTATTATTTTCCTTCTTTTTCTGGGTTTACTTTCATTTTCTAGCTTCTTGAGTTAAATGCTTGGCTTATTACTTTACAGACTTCTTTGTCTCTAGCATGAGCAATAAGGCTACAGTCTTCCCCTAACATTGCTTTAGCTTTGTCATCAGTTCTGATTAGTATTTTACTAATTATTCAGTTCTAAATAATTATTAATTCCCATTTTGACTTTTTTCTACAACTCATGCATTAGAGTTTTTTTTAATTCTCTAAATTTGGGGGTCTCCTTATTTTTCACTATCAATTTCTACAGTAACTGTTATGTAATATGGTTATATGATACCAGTCCTTTGAATTTTATTGAGATTTTCTCCATGGCCTGTTATATTATCCATTTTCATAAATGTTCCATGCATAGTATTTGAGGAAAGTTTTCAATGTTCTGTGTATGTCCATTAGTTAAAGCTTGCTAATTGCGTGTCTCAAACCTTTTAACTCCATATCGATTTATTGTCTCTTTGATCTATCAATTTTGAGAGCTATGTGTGAAAATGTCCCTCTGTGATTTTGAGTATGTTTTCTTTTCCTGTAGTTCCAGCAATTTCTTTTTTGTATATTTCAAAGTTGTGCTCTTAGGGGCATATAAATTTAGAATTCTATCTTCCTGGTAAATTGAAATTTTATTAATATGTAGTCATCCTCTTTATGTAGTAAGGGTTTTTGTACCATAGTCTAGCTTTTCTTAATATTGAATACAGCCACACCTGCTTCTGTAAGCAAAGTATTATGCTAGTATGTTCTTCCCCATCATTTTACTTGCAGTCTTTCTTTGTCCTTGTGTTTTTAGGGCTTTCTCTTATGAGTAGTTTATAGTTAAGCTTTCAAAACCTAGTCTGAAAATATTTGATTTTTGTTTAGCGAGTATAATCCATTTATGCAGAGTGTGATTATTGTTAAATTGTATTCATTTATACCATCTTTGTTTTAGCTCTCAACTTGTTCATCTCTTTTTAGGTTTCTTTTTTTCCCTCTTTCTTTCTTGTCTCCTTTTGGGTTGATCTGTTTTTCCCTTCTTCTCATCCCTTTCTTTATTAGTTTGGAAGTTACACACTTTATTTCAATTTGGATAGTGGAGAACTTACAAATTATAGGTCACTTATTTATCTTCATAAATTCAAAGTTAGTATCTTAGATTTTATAAGGACACTAGGGACCCCATGTTTGACACCTGTCCTAGATGAATTCACTGCTTCTTAAAAACCTGCGCTCTGACTAACTAATTAAATAAATAACACAGGCACAGATTGGCAGACAAATGCTGGACTCCACAGTTCATTTCTATAGATTCTCACTTTATCATTTCTTACCTCGGAGAATTCTCTTACTTCGCCTACTGCTATGCGATATATTTATAAAACAGTTATTATTTTGTCCAACAACTATTTGGGGGAGAAGGAAGTATGTTTCTGTGAAATTATGATAACCATTATTGCCAGAGTTCTCTTCTCTCTCCCACTTTCTGACTTGTCATTGTTCCATTGGCCCAGGATGCTGCTTGAATTTTCTCCACACTGGCTCAAGTTTTAAAAAATTTATACAAAGGTTCTCCCACCAATTCCCCAAATCTCTTGTTCTGGAGTAGAGTTGTGGTTTCCCTCCTATTCATTCCTATCCCTCACTGAGTTCAGCTATGGTGCTATTAGATGCAACACAAGCTAAGTGAGGCAGAAAAAGAACAGAAGAAATCTCAACTATTTCCCCTGAAAATGAATGGCTCCCATGCCAACTGGCAAATAACCCTAACAGCATGTCTTAAGGTGACAAAATCTTATCAACCCCCCTCCCTACATTTAGGTGTCTTCTTTCTGTGCAGTGATTTTCTTTCTAAACTAGTAAAGTATGTTTTCTATTAGTTCAGTAGCTCAGAAAGGGTGGGAACTCACCATCCTCCAGCCTGAAATATAAATCCTTCAGTGGGTGGATTGGATCTGAAGTCCATAAATATTCTGAAGATTCAATCCAATTCAACTGGACAAATATTTATTGAGTCCCTACAATATTCTAGGCAGTGGGCTAAGGCCTACAATAGATGTAAGGTAAAAAGACACAATGTCTGCTTTCAAAAAG